AAGAGGAGGGGAGGAGTGATGGAAGACAGGCAAGAGGAGGAGGAGGAGGAGTGATGGAGAAGGACGAGAAAGAGGATGGGAGAAGGAATGATGGAAGACATGCAAGAGAAGAAGGAAAAGGAGACAAGGTGTGGTGAAGGACAAGAAAGGAGCAGGAAGAGGGGCAGAGACAAGGAGCGATGGAGGAGGAGGAGGAAGGAGCCATGGAGAAGTTAGGGCGAAATCAACACCTTTAGAGATGATAAACAGACACAGGTCGGGAGATGACAGGTAGGGTTGATAGACAGATACAGAGGACAGGCAGACTAAGAGATAAATGGGGCCCCCCTGTCAATTCAAGGGCCGCACCGTATTCCGCCAGAGGAGCAGCCTAGCCTTCCCCCCCCCCTGGGCAGAACCGGGCTCCCCACGCACGCCCGGGCCCAGCTGCCCTGGCTCTTTCCAGAAAAGCTCTTGTTGATGCCTTCAGAGCACGGATGTAAACAACTCGGCAGCCGGTCCAGGGGACGCAGCCAGCGCCGTTGGGGAAAGATGCTGGAAATATAAACCACTGGGGAAGTGGGGAGGTTTCTCCAGTGGATGCAAGACGTCCCCCTGAAACGACATAGAAATTTGGGAGGTGGGGGGGTGTGTGGCTGGTGGGGGTGGGGGAGAAAATGGGAGAACGAGCCGGCTAAACCGACTCAGTTTCCCCATCTAGTGGTTCCCTTTCAAAAGTGCAGCTCTGCAACTCTGGAGACTTAAAACCGGAAAGAAAGGAAGTTTGGGGGGTTTTTTTGTTTTTGTTTTTAAAAAAAGGCAAAAAAGCAGCTTTTGCAAATGGAAGCGATTGGCCCATCGTGCATTTCTGAACAGAATGAGGAAGTGAGCATCAGGCAACTCTACATCACACGGGTGTGTGTGTGTGTGTGTTTTCAATCTCTCTGTACAGCTAGTGCTCGACTTACAACCGCTCATTTAGTGACTGTTAACAACGGCACTGGGGGGGGGGGGGGGGGGGAGAGAGAGAGACTCGGGATCATTTTTCACACACTAACGGCCGTCGTAGCATCCCACATTCGGACGCTTGGCAACGGACTCGTATTTCTGACGGTGGCAGCGCTCCAGGACAAGCCAGAAACCAAAGCAACACCTTGGAAGAAAAGAAAAAGCAAACCGCTTTCTCAACGCTGCCAAGAAAACTGAGTCAACGTTGGCACCGGGCATCAACCTGGAGGTTGTGTTGTCACAGTTACACAACAGCGGGGCAGCAGGAATAACACAACCTTGTGTGTTTTGCAAAGGAACGCCATCATGTCCTTGGAGGGAGGGAGGGGGGGGGCGGGGGAGGGCAGGCGCCTTTAAACCAGGAATTTGCTTCCTTGGGGATCCGTTCTTTGGGAAACTCCGATGTTTCCAGGGAGCTCGTGTCACATTGGAGTCCTTAAGCATTGTTGTCACAACACACAACCGTTTGCACAACGTGGCAACGTAACTAAGAAGGCCCCCCCCCCCCCCCCCAGTCAGCAGAGAGGGAATGAGAGGTCTGAATGAACGCTGGGGAGGGGGGAGAGGAGGGGGAAATCCAGAACTCGTTGCAGCCGAAGACCATTTTTAAATAGATATTGGGCTTATTTTAAAGACGCGGGGGGGGGGGGGGGGGAAAACTGGGGGGGGTGGGGAAGGAAAGGGTAGGAAGAAGAAGAAGAAGAAGAAGAAATTATGCTATTAGCCGGGCTTGTGAAGATAGTTTATGTTTAATACATCTGGAAAAAAAAATGCATATACAAAGAACTCAGACATGGAGAAGGGGAAGAAAAACAGCCATCAGTTCCAACACTAATGAGTCTACGAGAATTAGAATCCGGGTAGATTTGTAAAAGTTATTAAAAGCCAGAGTATATTTGGGGGAAGATCCCGGTGAAGAGCGGAGTTAAAGAAGATCCTCACCCATCAGGAGACCTCTTGGAATCCATCCCAACCTCTTACCAGCCCTCGCAACACACGTCATCCAAATACCTTCGCCCGTTTGGGTCTCTTTCCATGAAAAACCCCCTTAGTGGCACGCGGAGAGTTCTTTGGGCTCCAAGTGTCGAACCTCCGAAGGCAGCTTGGGGGGTGGGGCGGGGGGGGGGCAAGTGGGGCAGAGGGAACTTTGAACGTAGGCCTGTTATCATAGCTGGCTCTGCTTACCAAGAGAGTTGGGGGTCGGGGGTCGGGGTGGAGCAAACCACCCCAGAGGCTCTTGTCCGTTAACACCTCCTATATATGTTGCCAGGTTTGAGGGTGGTGGTGGCTTTATTCCTCAAACTCAACTAACAACGACAACAAGAAGAATACCACCCCCCAAAAAACACCAGCAATTGGCAAAAACCAGGTGGGATTTCCACCCCCGCCCCCCCACCCCCAAGTGTGTTTCGACAAAACACACCAAAACGCGCGCCGAGATGAAAGCTTTTGGCCGAACCGACCCCACGACGTGGGGCTAATATATCGAGAGGGCCGAGGTTTCCCCCGCCTGCCTGGAGGTGGAAAGGAGGGTGAACGAGAGAGCCAAGGCCACGTCAGAGGAGAGGCGGGTTCCGCCGACACCTCCCTTCCAAAGGAGCGCCCAAGTTTCGGGACGGTTCTCTTGCCTGGCCAAGCGGCCCCAAAGGATTGAAAAGCCCGCTCCAAGCCGGCTGCAAAAAAAACCCCCCAAAAAACCACAACCCCACAAGAATCCGAAATACGGACAGCTTAGCAGGGTGGAAGAGGGTCTGGAGGCTAGAGACCTAAGAATTAGTCTGCTAGGGAAGGAACAAAATAATAATAATAATAATAATAAATCATTAAGCATGCCTGAATCTTGAAAACAAACAAACAAAAAATTGAACAGTAAACAAACCAAAACAAGAAACAAAACCCCAACCCCTGGTTACTAAGCAGGGTCGGGGGGATACCTTACTCTATGTCGGGGTTTTCTTTTTTTAAAGAATTAGTCTAACCGAAGGGCCCCGGAAGGAGGAAAAAGGCGTAAGGTTTGCCTCTTGACGCAGGGAGCATGATGGGGGGGGGGGGGAGAAAGGGGCGCGTGGCGTTTTTGTCATTATTGCAAAATAAAAACAAACAAAAACAAAAAAAAGAGGAAAATATTGGAAAATCTGAAACTCTTTTAGTTTTGATTTCGACATTGCTTTTAGTATGACATCAACACCAGGCTTGGCAGGAGGGGCTGTGTGAAGAGACCGGACGTTCATAGCAGTGCACACCTGCGGCCCTTCTTCGGCTCCGGAGGCTCCAGCGCAGCCAATATTGCTTCGTCAAATACATTCTTTAGGCCTTTCTGGAAAGGGGGCAAAGAGAACAGGGGAGGGTCTCATTGTCTGGGTTATTCAAAGCAAACAGATGTAAAAAAACAAAACAAAACCTAAATGAAAAAAAAGAAAGAAAGGAAACCAGCAAAGACAAAAATTAAAAGCCGAGTTTCGGAGGCCAATGGGGACTCGGTTGCTGTGAAGCAATTATTCCTAGCCGGGTGGATCTATGGATTTAATGGCCTGGGAGGGAGGTGGCGTTATTGGAAAGCAGCACGAAACAAGTTTTAAAATGCAAAAGCAGCCCCTGAAGGGTTAAAAAGGAAAGAAAGTACGCCTTGGGACCCCCAAGTTTGGAAATCTTGGAGAGAGAGAGAGAGAGAGAGAGAAGAGAGAGAGAGAGCATGAAGCCGACACTCTCCGATTGTGCAGGGAGTGTAATGGAGGAATAGAAGCAAGTGTGTCGGATCTCACACTTCACATTTGAGAAGCAATGTGCGTTTCTACCCCGGGGTTTGAAAAGAAAGAAGTTTGAGGAGTCTCGACCAGGTTAGATCGGAAGCAAGCCAGAATGGTGGGAGGGGGGAGACTTTTGTTCCCCGCAAAGTTTGCTCAAGCGCCCGGTCACCAGTTATTGAAGCAGCAAAGGAGGACTCAGAAATAGTGGGGTGGCAAACCAACTCCGGTCCAGCATGAGAAAATAAAAACAAGGTTGGAGCGCTAAGATGTTAAAACTGAAGCAAATGAAAGCAAACAGGAATAATGCTTCATCAGGCAATGTATACAAACAGCTCATTGTTTAATTTTGAAATGTTCAGGTACTACAATTGGAGATCCATTTCCTTCCTTCGGACAGCAGAGGTTAAAAAAAAAAAAGATAGGATATATTCTTTTTTTTTTTCCCCCCCCCCCCAAGAAAGCTTTTACATGTTTACAGTGCAAGCTTTAAGAAGGAATCAAAAGTGATTTATCACCATGTCACCGGAAAACAGATGTCGGCCACTGTCAGAGGAGCCCGTGCCCCAAACATCCACCCCCCCCAGAACCCCAACAAATACTGCACGACACCACAAACAGTCAAAAGTATAGCAAAAACCCACTGCACAGAGAGAGAGAGAGAGAAAGAGAGAGAGAGAGAGAGAGAGAGAGAACCATTTTAGTATTACTTGCAGGTCAGCATGTCAGATACAATCATCATGCAAATACAATTGAGAGAGAAAGAACAGGAGAGGGAGGGAGAAAAGAGAAATAAGATTGTACAGTCCTTTTCATTTAGATATAAAAATCCTATCGATTTCTTTTTCGAGTATTCCTCCCTGTTTTTTTGTTTTGTTTTTTTCAAAATTATTGTTATTCTAAGCAAAGCTACCACGGCATCTCCGAGTGACCTACTCACATAGTTATTAAAGAGCCAGCAACCCTGAAGCACATTTTAACGGGTCTATTTTCATGTTTCCGCAGCCGCACCCAACTTATTTATTTTTAAAAAGCAGTTTCTACTAATCCCTTTCCCAACCCTCAAAGCTAATACAGAGTTTGCTCTAAAGACGTTAAGTAAAGACACGGCTTCTTTTCGTTCAGGATTGGTTTTATTGGTGGTGGCGTTGGCGGCGGCGGTGTTTTTCCAACCAACTTTCTACAGCAGGAGAGAGGAAGCAGCAACAAGGAGGAAAGGAAAAGAAGAAGAAGAAGAAGAAAAAAAAAAGAAAGAAAAAAAAAAGAGGAAACTGTTTAGAATATACAGCATTTCCGTTTGGGTTGAGTTTCCGGGGGTTCGAGAGCGGCTAGGATAGCCTCATCAAATACATTCTTCAGACCTCTCTATAAGACATAGGGGGGAGGAGGAGAAAAAGATAGTAGCTTTGTTAGAGGGTTAGAGAGAGAGAGAGAGAGAGAGAGACACACACACACAGAGAGAGAGAGAGAGAGAGACACACACACACACACAAGCAGATACAAAAGAGCATTCGGGAACAAAAGTGCACAGTGGAAGCAGATTTACTTTTGGCCCAAAGAGGATCTTCGGAGGAGGAAAGGAGAGGCAAGCGGAGCAAGCGAAGGGTTCACATGCGTTCTACCTGAATGCCGGTTCCCCTACAAGGAGAGGCGGCCTTTACTTAAGGAGCGGCGTGGTGGCCTAAGAGGCAGAGCTCTCTCACCTCCCAAGCAGGAGGTGGTGAGTTCGATCCTAGGGAGAGGCAGGTCTTTCTCTCTCCAGGCACAATGAGAATATATCTGCTGAACAAAACCCCGCCCTGGCGACAGGAAGGGCAGCCAGCCAATAAACACGCAGCTCCGTTCAGCTGCCTCCACACCGCAAGGGATTATGGGGTCATTAAAAAGAGGAGGAGGATAAGGTCTTTACTTAAATGAGACATCGGATTCTTTCCACATTAACACCGGGGAGGCAGGTGCGGGACGGGGACGACACAACCTGATTTTTGTGTGTGTAGGAGGCGGCTCTGACTATCCAGGCCCATTCGGCTCTGCAAACCACATGATGGCTTCTTAACCAGAGTTACAAACTGGCCAGCTCCATGCCCTCAAGAGAAACTAACCAGGTTTTGACTACAAAGTGTGAAAAGGAGAACTTAGGTTAACCAACATGCGCTTCTCGGATTTGTGAACAAAATTCGCAGGATGAATTGGCCATTCCAAGGGTGGCCATTTCCAACTCTTCCCTTACTACCCTCAGCCCACCCCACCTTCAGAGTTAGTTTCTCGGGAGATGGGAGGCTGCACAAGTACGGCGGATGAATAATCTGCCCTCTGGTTTTAATATTTCAGCCTGCCACAGGCAGAGTAAAATTAGAGAAAGGCATCAACTTTCCAACAGCTGTTCCCATACAACTGGACGTGAGTTTGCTCGCAAGAAACACGTTAATACTTCAACAGGAAACTAATTACATTCGTGTCTAGAATAGCTCCCTTTCCCATTTTCTGGGCCGAGGGAAAACTACTCGGCGTTTCCAACATGAGAAATTCAACCTGTGGGATACTCGGTCAACTCCAAGCGATAAGGCAGACAGGGGGGGAGGGAAATTGCAGATAAAATGCCCTCCATCTGTCTGCAATAGTCACATCAGCACGCAGAGTCCTGATCTGCAGCAACAGATTATTTTCTAAGAAAAGAAACCACCACCGCCGCCGCAGCCAACGGGAACACTTGGCACAAAACTGAACTAGTCTTAAATCTACTGTGAGATATGAAATTATCTATCAGCACAAGCGGAGGATCTCCTACGAACTGTATATGTTAACAAAGCTCTCCACAAAAACTTGCAAATGTGGCTAAGGCGTGCCTGTATTTATGGAAAGGGTCTCTAAAAGGCTGGTTGTCTAAGGGGGAAAAAAAAATGAGAATTTGGGGCTTCAGGACTAACCAACTTCTCCTAGGAAGCTCATCTGACATGAAAGAAGCAATTGAATCAGGTTTCCTATTTATGTACCAGATATTTCCTAGCAATGTAAACCTGATTAGAATATATACATACACATATATCCTATTAGAAGCATTATAATTGGTTCTAAATTGTTTATAATTGATACTGGGCTACATTTTAAGATCAGTGCCTTAACAATATTACAAATCTATACATAGTTTCAGAAAAATGTTTACATAGTTTCAGAATAAATTGAGTGCTACAGACTAAAAAAAGGGTTTTTCCTATAGCATTTCTTTTTTATATAGGAGATAAAAATCTGAACAGACTCCTTCGTGTTCAAGAGACACATAATTAGTTCTAAACAGAGTTCCCATTTCATGGGCATTTATTTTAATCTGCCTTTTTATACAGAAGCGTTCTTCGGATTAATAATAGCATTTAATTAATCGCATTTTTTTTAAACAATCCTATCTTTAAGAAAACAAGCAGGAACGTTTGATCGGCATTAGAATTTGTTCTTGGCTGTACGCAGCAGCCACGACACTTGGAACGAAGGAAGACTAGACAATTGAAAGTTTGTTTTAAAACTAGGCTGAATTACTTCTTGCACCAAACATGCTTCGGTTTCTTTTCACTTCTGTTTGGTTTTGTGTTCTTCTTTTTTATTTCCTCTTATGTTCATATTAAAACAAGAACTTTTTTTTTTTTAAAAAAAAGGCTAACCACATTTGCTGAGGCTTTCCAAGTGCAAGAATTAAGTTACTCTGGACGTACCTTGATTTCTATTGCTTATTTGACACTTTACGCTCCAGAACGCCAACCTCCCTCTCAAAAATATTGTTTAAGTAGGGGAGGAAACATTCCTTATCTCCATTCCCCCCCCCCCAGAAGAAAATGCTTCTAAAACTTTCCCTCCCTGACACTTTAATGTAGTTCAGGTAAGATTTCAATTACAGGTAGCCCTTACAACAGTTCGTTTAGTGACTGAAATTACAACGGCACTGAAAAAATGGCATCCCCGTGGCCACCTGATCAAAATTCAGGGGGTTGGCAACTCCTATTTATGCTGGCTGCAGCGCCGCACGAATCTCCTTTCTGACAAAGCAGCCCATGGGGAAGCTGGGGCTCGCTTAACGACCGCGGGACTAACTTAAGAACGGCAGGGATTTGCTAAAGAATGGTGGCAGGAAAGCCCGTTAAATGGGGCAAAGTTCACTCCACCACGGAAATTCTGAGCTGAAAGTCAAAGTCTACCTTTTAACGGCTGGGGGAGAACTCGAGAGAGCTATCGTTCAAAACTGTGTATTAATACCATCCTCCTTTGGCTCTCCCTGAAGGTGCTCGGTTTCTGACAATACCGCCTCGCAAATTCTGATGCTGCGTTTGTTAAAAGAAAAAGTGGGGGGCACACTGTGTAACTCAGGCAATTTAGCCCCTTTCTGCCCAAGCACCAAGTCCCTTTGCCACCATGGCCATCGCCTCCCTCCCTGCCTCGTGCCATCCCGGAGCCCTTCCTCCCTGGGCCTGCGTGAGGAGGGCGCACTTATCAGGCAACAGACTCTGCACAGCATCCATTAAAAAAGAAAAAAAAACCCTTTTCTTATCTTGCATCCACAGACCAGGAATAAATCGTAACATCCGAGTTGGAAAACTTTGCAGGGTGAGCCTGACACAGATTCTGGGTTGCCCAACAAGCCTAACCCGCTTGTTTCGACCTTCGTCACCTCCTCCTCCTCCTCCTGCCTCTTGCAATTATCCAATTTCTCCTCCAAGGGCTACTGAGACACCGGCTCTGCTTGCAGTTAAGGTTTTGAATTAATGGGGAGTTAAAATACGAAGGGTTGGGAGTTGCTCTTTTGGAGTGCCGGGACGCTGAATGGCCGCCTCCATTTGTCTTTTAAAAAGCACCGCATGCAAAAGTTGGTCCGAGAGATTTGTGGGGGTTTTTTTTTTGTGGCCGATCCTACCTTGAGAATGTTTACAGGTGACTGACAGCTGCACAAACCGATGGCGAGACCCTTCCAAGAGGAACTTACCTGTCGGAAGCCCCGTTGCCCTCCGAGGTTCTCGCCCACCCAACTTCCGCTAACAGCCGCCATGCACATAGATTTGGACTGGGGGGCTGGGGGTGGGGGCTTACCTGTGTGAGCGCAGAGCATTCCACGTATTTGACAGCTTTCAAGTCCCGCGCCAGTTTCTCCGCGGCCTCGGGAGTGATGGGCTTCTGCTTATTCTTGGCGAGCTTCTCGATCGTCGAAGGGTCGTCTCGGAGGTCAATCTGGGTCCCGACGAGCAGAAACGGAGTCTTCGGACAATGGTGAGTGATTTCGGGGACCCACTGGAGAGAGAGAGGGGTGGGGGGAAAAAAACACGTTACCGGCCGTCAGCCGGGAAAAAAAAAATCATCGCATGAACGAAACACTGGGCTGTTACCGTTGAGCAGGGCTTTTCAAACTTGGCAGCTTTTAAGGCTTGTGGACTTCAACGCCCAGAATTCCTCCTCCCGTCATGTTAGGGGGGCCATATTGCTGACTCTAACCCGCTTAGAAAAGGCGGTAAAGCAGTATGAAGCGGTATAAAGTCTACTTCTCTTCTATTTCCCTTCTGTTCTATTATTTTCCTGTTATTCTGTTCTGTTCTCTATTCTGCATTCTATTCTATCCTATTCTATCCTATTCTATTCTATTCTGCATTCCTTATTCTGTTCTCTTTTCTATTCTACGATGGCACAGTGATTAGAATGCAGGATTGCAGGCTAACCATTCCCACAGCCAGGAGTTTGATCCTGACAGGCTCAAGGACAATTCAGCCTTCTGGGGCCAGTAGGATGAGGACGCAGATTGTTGGGGGCGACAGGCTGGGCCTGTCATCCACTTAAGAGAGGGCTGAAATGCGCTGTGAAGCGGCACACAAGTCTAAGGGCTACGGCTGCTGCTATCAGTCTGATGATATTGCCCTAGTTTGGTTAATGAAACACCCGCAAGAATGCAACCGAGGCTCGGGGAGCACCCGGGATCAAAAGCCTCTTGCCGTGGGTGCAGACCGAAGGCCCTCACCTTTTCCTTGACGTTTTCAAACGAAGAGGGCGAGACCACAGAGAAGCAGACCAGAAACACATCCGTCTGTGGGTAGCTGAGGGGCCGTAATCTGTCATAATCTTCCTGTCCTGTGGGGGGGAAAAAAAAATAAGAGACCGAACATTAGGAACCTGGTCTCTGGATGAAGAAAAAAGTACAACAACAACATTTCACACAGGTGTACAGGTAGTCCTCGACTTACTGACCCCCAACCTTTTATGCCGCTAAGGGGAAAAACATGTTAAAGTGAGTTTTGCTCCGTTTTATGGCCACAGCTCTTAAGGTAATCCCTGCGGTTGTTAAGTTAGCCATACGGTCATTAAGTGAATCTGGCTTCCCCACTGACTTTGCTGGACAGGAGACCCTGGGGGGCAATGCGACCATCATAAATATGAGTCAGTTGCCAAGGGCAGATTTAAATCACATGACCATGGGGATGGCTGCAGCGGTCCTTAAGTGTGGAAAAAATGGTGCTGAGTCATTTTTTTCTCAACGCCACTGTAACTTCAGTCACTAAGCGAACTGCCGCAAACCGAGAACCACCGGCACAAGCAAAACTGCCCTCTTCTTTTCCAGGCGACTCAAACTTGAAGCATCGCTCCCCTTTGCGCCTGTGACTCAGAAGTCCAAATGATAACATGCAAATAAGCAGGGATGTAATTCCCAGAATAAAATCCAGTTGCACTTTCAGATTGCTGCTTCTAACAGGAAGAACGGGGCCCGCTGTATCGGAGGGCTGTGAGGACAGAAGTCAAGGTTTACTCCAAGGCCAGACACAAATGCTGTTAATTCTCCACTTTCTGAGGAAAGATCGAGGCGCCGCTTGGTACAATAAATGTAACGGTGCAGATCGCTAGCGGTTCTGCTTCTGAAGAAGCTGTACCTAAAAAAAATCTCCTTTCTATCCGAGATATGCAAAGCAGGAAATGACAGCTGTAGTCATCCCGGGTGTCATTTCCCAAACCAAGACGTTCTGGCAGATTCAACTCGGTGTGTTCGCAGAGTACAAGGCCCAGAAGGGATTTTAAAGAGGAGAAAAGCGAGAACTATCCACCAAGGAACGTTTTATTCCTTCCCTCTTCTAGGAAGGCTTCCAAAGCAGCTTACAAATTAAAAAAACGAACAGTCCCACCGAGGGAAAAGGGGTATGTGCTTGGAAAAGAACCACAAAACAAACTAGCATTCTTTACATTACATTGCTTTGAGCGGTTATAATATTTCTCTGGCTTTCGGCATACTTGTACATTGAAGTTTTATCAGCAGTCAGTCAAGCTGTGCCATCGCAACTACAAACCCCTCTTCGCCTTCTTCCTCAAAAGGATGAACAGACTTAAAAAGCAGTTACCTGCGGTATCAAACAGGCCTAAGGTGTATGGCTCCCCGCCAATCATCACGGTTACAGCATAGTTATCGAACACCTGCGGAGTTAAAAGACAAGGAACAGCTTTCAGCATCGATCATTCACCTTCCAAACATAAAGCCTACCTGGGGCTCAAATCAACTGTTTATATAGAAATATGAACCTGCAAGAAACCAGCAGAACAAGCCCATCCATCAGTGGTGGGTAGCAGTCTAATCTCGTTGGGAAAGGAACCCCCTTTCAAAATTTGCTATCGCTAATTTAATCAGCAAAATATTTCCTTAACCAACAGGCAACAACATCAGTGACAATGGGACCCAACCTGCCCTACTCAGAACCATTATTTTTAATCAAGGAAGTCAACGAGTAATTACAATATTTTAAGTTTCCTGCCTACAAATCAAAGGCTTTTCTTTCTTTTTTTTTTTAAGAAAAACCAGCAGACTGACATTTGAACCTAAGTGGACATTTTAAAACAAAAGGTTGTTATAGATTAAATAACTTGATTTAAATAATCTTCCAAGCAGTGAAACACACTTGAATATGCTGGCTTAAAAACCGGGAAACTTGAGGGCTGGGTTTTCCTTAGGCCTGAAAACCAGTCACTCACTCTTGCCCAACCCACTTCACAAGGTGGTGGGTGTGGAGCAAACTGGGAGGCAGGAATAAAAATGTAATCTAACTGGTATTATAAAACTAATTAAATGGCCATGTACTAAGGTCGGTATTCACATATGTACACAGCTAGTCTTATTTTGGAGGGGGGGATTTTGTGCTGCATTTAGAAACAATTACAAAATGATAAAACATAACTTAGGATACATCAGTGCCTGTAAACACACCTTTTCACTGTTGTTCAACCCAGGGAAAGATATATTAAGTTAATGCTGGTTAAATGTACTGCCAACAGTTATTAACTTACCTTTGTTTATGTAAAGTTCAGGATTTACACATGATCTCGAGGGGCCGCTGATTTGGGAAGGTACAACTGATCCCCCATTTATTTATCTACTTCATCTGAAGTTTGGGTCAAAATCTCCAGCAAGGTTTAGTATTTAAGTATTTAAATCTAAACCCCTTGCTCTTAGTACTGGGCCAAACACTTAAAAAGTTTTGTTAAGCATGTCAGAGCGAGCAAAGTAACCCCGCTGAAAGCATTAAGCCACCTTTGGAATATTTGAATCCACTGAGAAAATATTTGTAGCTCAGGGTTGGACCGTGGGGTCCTTGGTGCACTGATGAGGTTACTTAGTTTGGTAATGAAATGCCTGCAAGAATACAACCAACCTCAGAGAGCACCGAGGGTACCCAAGCTGTCACCAGTTGTTTGCATACCTAGACAATTAACTGAGACTGCCAGAGGAGAAGAGCCTTCAGCATATATATACGCTGAAGACTATTCTCCACTGGCCGTCTCAGTTCATCCATTGTCTTGGGGTGCAAATGCAGACAGCCAAGCCTTGAAAAGGATGTGGCTCCTTCAGTGCTCACTCATCCATGTTGCTGAATGCCTCCTTCAAATGCTTTGCCGGACCTGCTAGCCATTGTTTCTACTACCATCATCACTGGTTAGGGTTTTATTTCATACCTATATATCTAATTGGCAGCGCCATAATTCTCTGTTAACTTTGTACAAGAAAAAAGAGAGATAAAGTACCACTTTTTACTCACCGTTGGTACATATTCAGAGGGGAATTTATTTGTTGTATAAGAAATTAGAAGACATGTTTTACCAACAGCACCATCTCCCACAACCACACATTTAATTGTCTGCATAGTTCAAATTTGTTGCTATATCAGGTCCAAAATTAATCTGGAAAAAAAAACACAGGAAGTCAGGTAATTATGTGAAGGATAGAAAACGTGTCATCATTGTTATTGCACTTTCAGCATAGGCCTCTCAAGAAATTCAGCTACAGTAAGTAGAACCCCCCCCCAAAAGCAGATCAAAAGAGAACGGGAGCATGAAAGGGAGATTAAAACCAATTTCCCCCCACGTAATCTAGCTGATTATAAGATTCTGAATTAAATTTTTGTTTTGTTCCTTCGCAAGGAAAGTTCTAGGAAATCCCATGAAAAATTTGTTATTCTCAAGGGATCCTGGGTGGTAGAAACATTGATGAAAAGGCTCTGAATCACGACTAACAAGAAGCAAAAGGTTCTTTTTCTCCCCCAAACAGAAAATGCCAGCATTTGCATAACACGTCCTGTACAGATTTTTCTGTAAAGCAGGAATATGAAACAAGAGGTTGTCTAGTGCAATGTAAGGACTTACATTAACATCACACATCATGCAACACAATGTAAAACTTTTATTATTCATACCGGCGCTAAGCTTCATGCCGATGTTAGAATTTGGTTTTAACCACGAGAACTTTCCTTCCTGTTTTGCAAGTAGGCACTCGGAGGAAACAATCGCATTCCATCTTACTGTATTTCTATCATTTGTACGTCACACCAAAAGAACATGCTTTTTCAGGATGCTGAAATCTACCAACACCAAAATCCTTCTGCAATGTTTAATTCTGCTATAAGTCATTCCAGTTCTGGGGGTGGGAAAATGAAAACCAGCAGCAGTTTTCTTATTCTTCTGATGAAATTTTCAAGGTTCCCGCATGTGCATGGTCCTATACTCTCAACAGCAACCTTTTCTAAGAAACCCAGAAGTTCTTAGAAGTTGGCTGGTTCATCATCTAAATGTAGAGGTGAGTTATTTTGAACAGCACAGATTTATACCAAGTAATGACAATTACTGTACGGCCCCTTCCTATTTGTGGGAGTGTTCCTCTGTATCACTGAACTTTGACTAGTTTCTTTTCATGTTTCTCTCAACACCAATGGGCCTACCAACAAGGAAGCAGAGCTGCAAAAGCATTGGAGACTGTTGATATAGGGTTCTAGGGAATTGGAGTAAATAATACCATAATGAAAGCTTGTTAAGACTTATTAGAGTCTCATCAAGATACATCTCAAGAGAATATATAATTACTTTCTTCTGCAGGAGGCCTGTTATGCAGCCACAGTAAACCTGGTCTGTGTGTTTGTACACAAACTTTACTTTTCACTGTGGTACAACATCTATACACTTCTGATTATTTTTCACTCACATTTGTTACATTTCATCTAAAATGGAAAATGTTTTTTCTAAGAGTCTAAACAAAAATGACTAACTTAGTATTCTACCATATCGAGAACAAATATCTGGATCTCCACTCTGGCCAGAAAAGATTAAAATGAGCATCTTTTAAAATTTAACCAGTCATAGAAAATGAAGACGCTAAAGTGCTCTAAGTTTTTAGGTTTCAAACAGACAACCCACCTGCTGCATAACATCCCAGATGTAACAACTATTGATAAGACAAAAAAAAAATCTGGATTGTGGACAATATCTGGAGACAGAAGAATAGAAGAGGAAGAACTAGAAAAAGTCATAAAATAATATCTGCAAACAGAAGAACAGCTGTGGCAAAAGAAAACAAAGATAGTACCAATAGTAATCGGCATTTTGGGTGCAATCCCAAAACATCTGGAGCATCACTGGAACACTGCCAGCATTGACAAAATAACCATCAGTCAATTGCAAAAGCCACTCATACACATACACACATACACACACACACACACACACACACACACACACACATATATGGATCTTTGGTTATTTGGGCTTTCTGCCACGTAAAATTGGAAGTATTTTGGAGACGTTTCGACTGCTATATACCATATATAGCATACAATATGGTAGAGATTGGACATCTTACATCCAGTATGAAATGATACCTAATTCTTAGCATATGTACAATCCCAGTAACTGCCAAATTAGCAAATTTAATTATTGCTGTCCATTTCTTGGCATCTAAGCTGGGACTGAACAACTGTTTATTGCATATTCTGCACAGAAGTTGAACAACCCGAGAGGTTTTTAGTATGACATGTTTGAACACATTTTTCCAAAACAGGGGGAATACCTAAGTGGCATTGTCAAAATGACCGATCAGAGACCAATCAACACAAAGGAATATGATGACCGAGGACAAATCAACACGCTGATCTTCCCCACTCGCCAACACAAACTGACGGGTAGAAATTTTCCAGCTCTCTGTGCAAGTGCATACAAAAAGGAAATTTTAAAGCGTAAGCAACCACAAACAAAAGTTGACTCGCAATCCCTCAAGTTATTGGCTCTCCTGCTTCGTGCCTGTCTTGCAACCTTTCTTGCAACTATGCCAAAATGGGTGCCTGACTGGGACAGGCAAGCAGAAACTCTGCAGGCACTTAAGCCCACCCGCTCCTTCGCCTATCCGAGGTCAGCATTCAAATCAGCAAAGATAACAAGAAGGTCTCCAATACCATCTCCGGCCAGGCTTACGTTTGAAACCTCTCCCTATCTCTTTCCTTCACACAATTCAGCCCACCGAGCCTTCAACCTGGACTGGTAATAAAAACCTAGACATGGATGGTGTAGCACATTTGAAGTGCTTTGTGTGTCAAGGAACACAAAACCTCTTATCATCCCGAGATGGGGAAGATTTCTTTGTAGATTATTCTGCATTCCCAGAACAGATGGCCTACAAAACAGGGACTTTCTAATTCAGAGGGTTTTTTTCTACATTAGGAGAACAGCTAAAGCATCTTAAAAACAAGACTTAAGCTTTATGTTATAAAGAGAGCTTCTTCAAATTCAATCTACAAAGAATAGTAGTTCAACTCAAGACAAGGCAAGCTTCCATAATGATTTTTTTTCAGAATGTCCACATTCCATGTATCACTCAGGGGACAGAATTTTAGATTGAAAATAAAGTGTGCATGCAAAATATTGACCTAAATGAAGTATTAGAAAGAGCATTATGAGACATATTATATACCGAGTTCATTCACAAAGAGTACCAAGGACACTGCTCTCTACAAATATTATATACATGTAAGCAATCATTAAAGGACTATCATGTCCACATTACAGGTGAGCCAATCTCCATTTGAATATGTAAAAAAACTAATTGTTTAAAAAATGCTCTGATTCAACTCACTATATCATTATATAAGAGAATCCACTTTTATGATTCCCATAACTGCTTGCTTAAATACTAGTTACTAATATACAACTGTATAATCTGTATTTATGTTGTTGGCTCCCCTGAATTATTCTTTATCCTAAACCAAGGAAACGAATGGACATTTAAACCGTAAAAATTCTACTGGATTAAGATTGGGGGGGGGGGGGGGGTGGAATCTTCACTAATGTAGCCTATAATGCTATTTAAATCAGAGATGGTCTAACTAGCTTTTATAATCCCTTTGCTTCTGATCTTGGGGATTCAAACTAGCGATGACACAGTATAATCCTGCCTTTTCGACCTATGAAATTCAATGCTATACACACCCATTCTTGAGACAGTGGGGTTCAAAGGCTGCAGAAGCCTCCTCCACAGTGGTGGTGAGACCTCCCAGAGGTAAATTCGATTGGGGAAGAGAAGCAAAGCTTCCCACCAGTAACTCAAATGCTGCCATCCAGATAAAAAGAACATATGTCAAACGTACCAGTCAGGGGTCTCCCATCAGGCAGAGGGGGGGGGGGGGGGGTCTCCAAACTTAGCAACTTTGAAGACTTGTGGATTTGGCTGCATGGCTGGCTGAGAATTCTGGGAGTTGAAGTCCACAAGCCTTAAAATTGCAAAGTTTAGAGAGACCCCTGAGGTACGCCATTACATTTTGGGTATATACAACATACCTACAGTACTGCCTAAATTAATTGGGGAGTTTAGCCCATGCAAAAAAAAACACAACAACTCATGACTTAACATTCCCAGTCAATGCAAGAGAGCCTTGAACTGGATTCCCAGCACTTTGTGTGCATGTTTAAACCTGCTGAGATTTTAATGGGGAGTCTTTGAGCTGGGTTGCCTTTGGCCCCACGGTATAGCCCAGCAGAAATGGGCGAAATCCCCCAACCTGCCCCCTTCCCTAAGCATCCTCAACCAGCCCCATCTTCGCAAGCAGTTTTCCGCCTTAGAATTCTAGGGCTGGAAGGGACCTCGGAGTTGTTCTTCTAGACTTCAACTCCCAGAATTCCCCTGCCAGCAGCCTTAAGTGCTTTAAGGCGAATTGAAACCATAGAATCACAGAAAAATGGAAAAGTGAAGGAAGGAAGGAAGGAAGGAAGGAAGGAAGGAGAGGGAGAGAAAGAAGGCAAGGAGAAGGAAAGGAGGAGAAGGAAGAAGAGGGGGAAGAAAGGAACGAAGGAGAGGGAGGGAGAGAAGGAAGGGAGAAGGAAGAAGAGCAAGTGGGGAGGAAGAAGAAAGGAAGGAATGGAGGAGGAGGCTGGAGAAGGAACGAAAGAATAAAGGGAGGGGAAGGAAGGAATGAAAGGAAGAAATCATGGGGGAGGAGAAAGAAGGGAAGGGAGGAAGGGAGGAGAAGGAAGAAGGAAGGAAGGAAAGGAGGCCTCTTTCCCCATCTGCCTCCCTCTTCCGCCAGGAACGCTGGGAAGGCAGCGGGGAGGACCCCCCCTCCCCCTATTCTCCCCCACCCTTTATCCTCCCCTCCCCCAGAGCCGGAAGTGGCCGATCCTTCCCGCGGCCCGGCTCTCTATGGTCTTCCGGGCCTCTTCGCCCCCTTCCTGGAGCGATCGGGGGTGGGGGCAGGGAAGGAAGGGGGGGGGACACAGGCAGATCCCCCCTCCCCCTACCAGAGACCCCAGCTTGGAGGGCGTTTCCTCGCCCCCCCCCACACAACACACACACAGGTTGCCCCCCACACAAGCGCCTCCCTCCTCTCCCCTCCCCTCCCTCGCCGAACTCCAACGCCCATCCTCCCCGGCCGTCCCGCGGTGAGGGGGGAGCTGGGAGATGGGGGAAGGCCAGCACCCCCGTCCCGTCCCCGAGCGCCGCCGGTAATCGCAGCTCCCATCATCCCCGCCCGGGGATGGGCGTTGTAGTCGCCGCCGTCGTGTGCCCCCGTCCGTCCGTCAGTCCCCCCGCCACACACACACACACACACACACATATAGACGTACCCCGGGGGGGGACCCCCTCCCCCTCCCGGTAAGCCCGCCCCTCCCCCACCCCCTCAGGAAAGGGCCGAGCTCCCCCTCCCCCACAAAGGCTGAGGCGAGGCCGACCCGGGAGCCCTTTCTCCCCCTCCGGAGACGCGCCGCAGAGGCCGCCCGCCTACCTTCCTTCCCTCCCTCAGCCTCCGCCGCCGACCGGGCCGAGAATCCCGCCGTTGTTGCCGCCGCCTTCTTACCTCACAGCGCTGCTCCGCCGGGCGTTGGCAGCTCGCTGCGGGGTCTCCTCGCCTGGGCAGCAGGGGCGGGCGGACGGGCGGGCGCGCTTACATCACCGCGTCCCTGCAGAGGCGGGGCTTCAGGCGACGCCGGGGAGGGGAGCGGGGGAGCACGTTACGTTCGTGCGTCGGGCAGGGCCGCCGCTCCGCTCTCTTGGGAGGGGCAACCTGCCTAATGGAGGACAGAGGAGGATCCCATCTAGCTTGTGTCTGTCTGTGTCTGTGTGTGTGTGCATATACACACGCATACACGAGCACAGATAGGCTACATGCATGTATGCATGCTGTTTTGTGTATCTGTCTATATATCTGCATGAATGTGTTTCATGGACATACGTGCGCATATCTATACATACGAGATAGTGCATATACACATATGCCTATGTATATGCACGATTGGGGGTGTATATTAGATATGCATGTGTGTGTATACACACCGGAAATAGTGTATCTCCATGCTTGTCTCTCTATATACATCTATGTGGTGTGTATACACGCGATACAAAGGCAAGCATATATACATATACAGATTATGCATGTATACATATACATGTACAGTAAGAAAACAAATATAGATTTCATATATACACATACACACACACACACACACACACAGAAATACAGATATATATATACATGGTGTGTCAAATTTTTCAGCTTTCAATTTCCAAACACAAAAGTAGTGATGTTTGCATTTTTATTATATTTTTAAAAAAAATTCCATTATTGTTATAATTCAAGGCGGTGAACATATCTAGTAGTCCCTCCTCCTATTTTCCCCACAATAACAACAACCCTGTGAGATGGTGAGAGAGAGGGACTGGCCCAAAGTCATTTCATTTTGCATGAAACAAGAAAAAAATACACTCATGGTTTGATGGTTGGAAAAAAATGGAAAAGGGGAGCCTTTTCGTAATCTTCGTGATTATTTTATAATTATGTTTTGCTGTAAAGGAAATCGGAAATTTGTGGTTTTTTTATTCTTTCTTGTTGCATGTTTGTGTTTACTTTTTCCCTTCTCTTTCCTTCCTTCTTTGTTCTGTTTCAACTAGTTTCTGTTCGTTTTTAGGTTCTTAAAAAAATAATTAAAATATCCAAACTGTTAGGACCAAGATCTGTTTCCTCATACCGGACACTCAGCATTCCCCGTGATAAACATTCTTATTGCATCCGTTACGGGAAGAGAATTTTCTCCTCAATGCAATGGGATTCCTAACTAAATAAAACTATTAGTTAAATCTCCTTCCTCTGATTAAAAATAAAATAATAAAAAAAACCTGTGGTTTTCTTTCGGTCCAAACTACCTCTCAGGTTATTGGGAAAATGAAAAAAAAAAAAAACTTCATTCTAGAAATAAATAATCTTCCCAATTGGGAAAGCAAGACATAAATATAATTACAGTCAAGTTTGTCGTGATGGATTTTATCCCTGGGGACAGGGTGGGATTAGATGACCTCCAAGGGGACCTTACCGCCTCTTACCTTGTCTGCTGAAGACCAAGGGGATTCCCAACTTGGGGGGGGGGGGAAAGGAGAGGCGGTCTTAATTTGGACTATCCCTTGCAGGAGGGGACCTGAAACGAGGCAAAAATTACTTTCTCAGGCCACCGTCCTGTCGCTAAAGGGCTAAAACTGCAAGGATGGGAAACTCAAAGCAAAAATCAGCCAAAAATTTCCAAATGGGTGTCGAAGAGGAAGCTGTTCTCCAGTCATTCTGCCCCCTTCGGTTTCTCAGAAGCAGCCAGGAGAGAACGATTTGCGAAGAGGAGAACCGGACATCACATCGTAAGGCCGCGAAAATTGGGTTCGCTACAAGGGGGCAAAATGGCTTGTTGGTCCAGCAGCTTCTCCAAGACGTTGAGTTCGGCGTCCCGTTTCTCCGCCTCGTCCAAAGGGGTCCAAGAGAGGTCGTGTTGCAGCCTGTAGCCGGCGAGGAACTCGCTGGGGCAGTTAGCCCCCCACTCCTAGACAGACGGAAGAATGGAGCGTATTAAGCAGGGTTTCCGCCCCGGAAAAAAACAGCGTGCCAACCAACCCCGCTTTTTTGTAGTTCGACGGCAGCAGGTGAAGACAGCTGAGGTCTCGGAAAGCGAGGACTCGGGTGAGGGGCCTGTGTGGGATGCAGGGATGGGGCCAGGACCATCAGGGAGTGGAGTGCTGCCTTCAGAGCTTATGGAGGCTGGCAGCAGTGAGGAAGAGGACCCTGAGGAGCCTGTGCCCAGTGCGTGTGCGCGCAGGAATGTTATCTCTTTTCACCCAGGAGATTTACCGCGTCAACTTTTTCTCAGTTTACAAATACCTTTGGGGAAAGCAAGGAGAAATAACGCTGGCCACTTTCTCTCCTGTACAGGTAATAAGTATTTCCAGGTTTTTTCACAAGGTTACAAGCCACGTGGTGGAGGTCGGCGTCTCTTTTGGCATCTTCCAGAACCTACAAGTTAAGAAAACCAGGTCATACTTAGTGCATAAAAATAGGCGAATTCCCATCAAACATACATACATACATACATACATATATATATATATATATTGCAATTTTACTTAGTTTTTTTTCTTTAACAACCATTAAGTGTTTGGTGACCAGTGAATTGTCTGGGTCCAGGTATATTAAACACAATACTAATAATAATACTATTTAGGTGTACATAATCTTTCAACTTCTAACATTTACGTATATATAGTAATTATAATGTATTCTATTATATCTCTGTATACATAATACTATTTTCCCAATTTCTGCTTTCTACCTTTATTTTCGAACCCTTAACAAAGCAGGTACCATATTAAGAAGTAATATATATCTACATCATCTCTTGCCCTTTTTAGTATTTCAACTCTTCTTCAACTCTGGATAATTCTGGTCTGGCGTCGTGCCCATTATTACCTTTCTGGCTTGTTCTTGCAAATATTGGATTTGTTCTGCAATGACAGTTAACCGGTTGCAGGCATTCGCTCGGACAAACTCATCCGCCTGGGGAGACAAAAGGCCGGCTTTTGAAACAGCAATTCGGGGTGGCGTACAAAATAAATTAACAACTCCTCTTAGGTCCTTGGTTAGGAATTTGTTTTTAACCAATCCCAGACTGTGAATCGAATTGAAGATTAAATCAACAACAACAATACCAATAATACCAATAATAACAGGAAGTGTCATTTGTGCATAATAATAATGGTAATAATAATGGTAATAATGGCAATACCAGTAATAATAATTTTTAAATATTCAGTTGACTGAGTTTCATGTTTAACAAAGAGATTATCATTACATTATTAATATTAAATTATAAAATATTATTAATAAATGCTGGCAGCATCCCGTATCAACCATCAGTGCCAGTCAATAATATGTTTTCAAATGTTCATTTGACTTTTATGTTTAATTAATTAAAGTTTATAATAATAGTAATAGTAATAATATGCAAAAAAAAAAACTTGGTTAGGACTTGAACTATTTTTTTTGTCAGTCCCAGACTCTGAATCGAAGACAATAATAATAATAAATACGTAAATAATAATATAATCCAAACAACTTAGATATAAATACAAAATCCAGCACACAAGAGGCCTCTCTTATATTATATTCGTAAAATTAGGGTTTTTTCTTCATTAACCCCAAATAATAGACTCCTATCGTTGGAGTTCCTTCGTCGTAAGCAGCCAGGTCTCCCTTGGGGTCATTCTGGACACACCGGGGATCTGAGATCCTTCGGCACTCTGCACATGCCCAGAGGCACTCTCGCTCACCTTCTCCACTTGCTCGGCCAAAGCCACCAGATCCGACGGCTGCGACTTTCGAGCGGCGGGGGTCAGCTGCAGACCCTCGGAAACCCCCCGCTCGACCAGCGCCGAGCTCGCCGGCGGAGGAACCGGAGGAGCGTCCACTTCCACCCCTTCTCTGGCCGCCATACTGGGAGACAGCACAGGCCACGCCCACTCGACTTTCCTATTGGAGGGCCTGCCCTCGCGTCTCAGTGAGAGGGCGGGGCGGAAGGAGCGGAGACGGCTTTTCATTGGAGGGATGACGAAAGAGCGGCGTTCGGGGGAACAGGCGGGACTCGCGGGGCACCTGCCAATCGGACGTCTCCCTGTGAGAAAAAGGCGGGGCAAGAGCGACTGCGTCATACCGAGAGATAGCAAAGGTTAGAGGTGAACGAAGAATTAGTAAAGGTAGAATGGGGAGTTAGTTAATGTAGAATATTGTGCGTTCAATGTAAAACTTTTTTGTAAGTAGGCCTAAGAATTTATTTAAATTTATCAGCAAAAAAAGGTGAAAGCTAAATATATTTAAAATAGGAAAATAAAACAGGTAGTTATCCTTGCAGGGGGTTGGACTAGAAGACCTCCAAGTCCCCTTCCAATTCTGTTATTCTATTTTATTCTATTCTCTATTCTACATTCTATTCCATTCCATTCTTTTATTTTATTCTATTCCTTATTGAACTTCCAGGTTCAAATCTTTTTATTAAAGGCAATATTTTGGTGGTGATTTATGAGTTCCTTGTTGAAACCTCACCCATGGCAAGAGTAATAGTCTATGCCACAACGAATCTGCCTGTCAAATGCTAAGAGGGTTGGACTAGATGGCCTCGGCACCCCCCCCTTTCATTCCATTGGTTTCAAGAGTTTTGCTGCAGGCCCCCATCCTGCCCTTCTGACTATTGCTGAGCCACAAGGCCCATCCTTTCTTCAGCCCTTTGAATTGAATTGAATTGATTTGGCCAAGTGTTGTTAAGACACACAAAGAATTTGTGTGTCTAATTGCACTAATTGACCCCAAAAGTTTGGGTTGCTTCCCCGAATCTCCCAGGCAGCCACACAGCCAAAGCGACTTAGGTACAGAAATTCGGAACTAAAGGACCACCCCGCAAATAAATCCGTGCGTTTCATCTTAAAAAGAGAGAATTTGTATCATATCACAAAGTTTGAAAACACTGCAGCCACTTTAAGAAGAGTGAACTACAACTCCCAGAATTCCCCAGCCCAGCATGACTGGCTGGGGAATTCTGGGAATTGTAGTCCACCCGGAAGAGGGGGGAAGGCACCATCGCCACGTGTTGCTCAGAGTGGGCGTGGCCGAAGAACGGGCGCGGCCCGAGTGGGCGTGGCTCCATCCTGCCAGCCCGGGCAGTGCGCGCTCCCCTTCGCTTAGCCAAGATGCTGCGCTTGCTGCTTGCGCTGCTCCTCCGCGCGATCCTGAGCGCCGCCGACGACTCGCGCCCGACGGTGGAGCAGCTCCGCCCGGCCGACGAGTTGCTAGCGGCCGGAGCCGAGGCTTACAACCGCGGGGACTGGCCCGGCGTCATCCTGCAGATGGAGCGGGCGCTCCGGGCACGGGCCGCCTACCGGGAACGCCTGGCCGGCTGCCGATCGGGCTGCGCGGCCAACCACACGGCCGAGGATCCCGCGCGGGAGCCCCGCCGCCCGTTCCGCGACCTGCGCTTCTTCCAGCAGCTCCTCCGCCGCGCCGCCTGCCTCCGCCGCTGCCTGCCGGACGGCCCGTCTCGATACCAGCTGGGCGAGGAGGTGGAACTGGAGTTCCGCAAGCGCAGCCCTTACAACTACCTGCAAGTGGCGTATTTCAAGGTGGGGGGGGGGGCTGGGGGGGCGCCCCCCCCCCCCCCCCCCCCCCGTTTCCCCCCGCCTCCGCCCCCCCCCCCAACCCCGCCATCCAATCTCCAACTGAGGAAGAAGAAGGGGCTGGTCGTGATCCCCAGCGCGCAATCGGGGGATTTGAAGTGGGGGGGAAGGCGGTGGGAAACTTTGGGGGGTGGGGGCCGTGGGAGCCCCGCCCGCTCCGCTCTCCGCCCCGTTTGCCACGTCGGTGGAGGGGCTGCGCCTTCTCTCCGCGGGGTCTCGGCGCAGGCGCGCGGGTGGAAAAGTGGGGCGGGGGGGGGCGCCTTTGAAAACCCCCCCCCCCCCCCCCCCCCCCCCGGTCTGGGAAGGATGGAGGAAGTGGGGAGTGGGCCTTGGCTGGTTTTTGTGGGGAGGGGGAGTTGTAAATGCCCAAAGTGGAAAGTTTCAGATCGAATCTCACCATCCCCTCCCTCCCTTTCTTTCCACTTCCTCT